TCAGTTTTTCTCCCCAGGATGCAACCCACACTAGTCGACTAACACCCATGTACCAATTTTACTGATAGGTGAACATGGACAGCAGGTGTGTTAAGAAAACATGTCCACTCATATCGGAGATAGACCCCCGGACCTCTGTGTGATCTGAGTGCGCTAGCAATCGAGCTACGGGACACCTTAAAAAATAGAAGGTTGAGGCCAGCTGAGGAGACAGTTACTTGCTTGTTCGCCGATTGGAATATTGCTGTGCACAAACAGCTATATTTAATGCTAGTAAAATCACAGCCCTAGGGAATATACAGAGAACTTATATTGCCTGCATATATTGAGACACCTAAATTATTGGGAATACTTATGCATCATAACTTACACCTAGAAAACATTAAAGGAACTACTACAAAATCTGCCCGGTGAAAATGCTCTTAAATGTGGGAGCCACAGTAGACGCTGTGGTCGCAGTGGTTAGTGTTCGGTACTCCTCGGAAAAGCAACTGGGTCGAGCACTGGAAAAAGGCTCTGTTACCTAGTAGTAAACAGAAACCTTTGAGTTAGTCGACTGTTCAGTCGCATCCTGGGGAAGAACCTAAGAAAAGGGGGGGGAAGAGGGGGATTCAAATGGAAACCGCACTTCTGAGATTGGGCTGCAGATTCGATAATTCTTGTAACATTGGTGGTATATCCTAACGTCTCTCATAAGATTACATAGAAAAATGGCCAATAGCGAGTAAACCTTACTTCTTGTGTGGTTTATAAAACACACTGGGAGGTAAACCGAAATTACTGAAGAGTATACGCAGTCGCAGAAAAATATGGCTCTAATTCACCTTCCGCGTGGCATTTTTTGTTGTCCAGTCACGAGAATCTTATATTTCCTTCTCTAGCTGGACATTTACAGGTGTCTGGCCTCATCATTTATATTACAGCGTTGAAATATCCGATAATATTACTAACGGACACTACAAATTTAGAGAAACATTGGCGGACCAGGTGGTTGTCTTGCGTTCCTGCCTGCTCCATTTCCCCAGTTTCTATTTAAATTTAGTGACATTTCTAGGTGTATCATACATTTTTCCTTATCAGAATATTATTTCCTTCAATATTACAATAAATCCACTATATTTAATAAACTTGTTACATTGTAAAAGGAAATTATACGGAATATGTTAGTTTCCTGTGACTTATCTTTCAAAAGTCACATTAACATTACACATCTACAGTCTTATATAAACATTATTATGCCTACCACTTACTACATTTAAATCATATGAAAAATTATCAGAAATTTTCCACCTACTTTGTACTATATTTTAATGGAACTCACAGATCTTGGAATTTTGGAAATACTATTTAATATGGATATTAAGCAATTACAATTTTAATATGTAAAATTACTAAAAGAGAAAAAGATTTATTGGTATCCAAATGCATTTGTTTAATTTTTACACAATTTGTCTATGAAAGTTAAGACACATGTGCAACATCTGGATATCTTTATTGTAGTAGACGTTTCGCCATCCAGTGGCTTTATCAATACAGATTCTAGGACATAATAGGAAGACAGTAGAACTATATACAAAAGATGAGGTAATCAGTCCCTCGGCCTTGGAGTTAGTGTTCACAGCATCGTGGTGGAGGAGAGTCTGGAGCAAAGGCAAGAAGACTGGCGCTTTTTATAGGCGTCAGTGAATGGGACGGGCAGCAGACGAGGTCAGTCATGGTAGGCGGGATTCCCCAGTGGAAGTAGGGTCCTTCCCAAAGAGATGGGTTAGTTGCAGCAGCCGTGAAGAAGGTCTTGTAGATGTCCTCTGAACCAAGATTCCATGATGTTGCAGTGTCTGACAAGTTGTGCAAAGGAAAGGTATAAAATACCGACAATATGAAATTTAAAGGGACACATGTGCAACATCTGGATATCTTTATTGTAGTAGACGTTCGCCATCCAGTGGCTTTATCAATACAGATTCTAGGACATAATGGGGAAGACAGTAGAACTATATACAAAAGATGAGGTAATCAGTCCCTGGCCTTGGAGTTAGTGTTCACGCATCGTGGTGGAGGAGAGTCTGGAGCAAAGCAAGAAGACTGGCGCTTTTTATAGGCGTCAGTGAATGGACGGGCAGCAGACGAGGTCAGTCACTGGTAGGCGGGATTCCCCAGTGGAAGTAGGTCCTTCCAAAAGAGATGGGTTAGTTGCAGCAGCCGTGAAGAAGGTCTTGTAGATTTTCCTCTGAACCAAGATTCATGATGTTGCAGTGTCTGACAAGTTGTGCAAAGAAAGGTATAAAATACGACATATGAAAGTTAGACACATGTGCAACTCTGGATATCTTTATTGTAGTAGACGTTTCGCCATCCAGTGGCTTTATCAATACAGATTCTGGGGACATAATAGGAAGACAGTAGAACTATATACAAAAGATGAGGTAATCGGGTCCCTCGGCCTTGGAGTTAGTGTTCACAGCATCGTGGTGGAGGAGAGTCTGGAGCAAAGCAAGAAGACTGGCGCTTTTATAGGCGTCAGTGAATGGGACGGGCAGCAGACGAGGTCAGTCACTGGTAGGCGGGATTCCCCAGTGGAAGTAGGTCCTTCCAAAGAGATGGGTTAGTTGCAGCAGCCGTGAAAAAGGGTCTTGTAGATGTCCTCTGAACCAAGATTCCATGATGTTGCAGTGTCTGACAAGTTGTGCAAAAAAAGGGTATAAAATACCGACAATATGAAAGTTAAGACACATGTGCAACATCTGGATATCTTTATTGTAGTAGACGTTTCGCCATCCAGTGGCTTTATCAATACAGATTCTAGGACATAATAGGAAGACAGTAGAACTATATACAAAAGATGAGGTAATCAGTCCCTCGGCCTTGGAGTTAGTGTTCACAGCATCGTGGTGGAGGAGAGTCTGGAGCAAAGGCAAGAAGACTGGCGCTTTTTATAGGCGTCAGTGAATGGGACGGGCAGCAGACGAGGTCAGTCACTGGTAGGCGGGATTCCCCAGTGGAAGTAGGTCCTTCCCAAAGAGATGGGTTAGTTGCAGCAGCCGTGAAGAAGGTCTTGTCAGACACTGCAACATCATGGAATCTTGGTTCAGAGGACATCTACAAGACCTTCTTCACGGCTGCTGCAACTAACCCATCTCTTTGGGAAGGACCTACTTCCACTGGGGAATCCGCCTACCAGTGACTGCCCTCGTCTGCTGCCCGTCCCATTCACTGACGCCTATAAAAAGCGCCAGTCTTCTTGCCTTTGCTCCAGACTCTCCTCCACCACGATGCTGTGAACACTAACTCCAAGGCCGAGGGACTGATTACCTCATCTTTTGTATATAGTTCTACTGTCTTCCTATTATGTCCTAGAATCTGTATTGATAAAGCCACTGGATGGCGAAACGTCTACTACAATAAAGATATCCAGATGTTGCACATGTGTCTTAACTTTTCATATTGTCGGTATTTTATACCTTTCTTTGCACAACTTGTCAGACACTGCAACATCATGGAATCTCGGTTCAGAGGACATCTACAAGACCTTCTTCACGGCTGCTGCAACTAACCCATCTCTTTGGGAAGGACCTACTTCCACTGGGGAATCCCGCCTACCAGTGACTGACCTCGTCTGCTGCCCGTCCCATCACTGACGCCTATAAAAAGCGCCAGTCTTCTTGCCTTTGCTCCAGACTCTCCTCCACCACGATGCTGTGAACACTAACTCCAAGGCCGAGGGACTGATTACCTCATCTTTTGTATATAGTTCTACTGTCTTCCTATTATGTCCTAGAATCTGTATTGATAAAGCCACTGGATGGCGAAACGTTCTACTACAATAAAGATATCCAGATGTTGCACATGTGTCTTAACTTTCATATTGTCGGTATTTTATACCTTTCTTTGCACAACTTGTCAGACACTGCAACATCATGGAATCTTGGTTCAGAGGACATCTACAAGACCTTCTTCACGGCTGCTGCAACTAACCCATCTCTTGGGAAGGACCTACTTCCACTGGGGAATCCCGCCTACCAGTGACTGACCTCGTCTGCTGCCCGTCCCATTCACTGACGCCTATAAAAAGCGCCAGTCTTCTTGCCTTTGCTCCAGACTCTCCTCCACCACGATGCTGTGAACACTAACTCCAAGGCCGAGGGACTGATTACCTCATCTTTTGTATATAGTTCTACTGTCTTCCTATTATGTCCTAGAATCTGTATTGATAAAGCCACTGGATGGCGAAACGTCTACTACAATAAAGATATCCAGATGTTGCACATGTGTCTTAACTTTCATATTGTCGGTATTTTATACCTTTCTTTGCACAATTTGTCTAGAAACATTCTTGAGTTATTATTATTAACGTGAACGCTAAACCCGAAAGGGGCATACAGCGCTGTAGGGGAGGAGGTGCAAGAGTAGGAATGTAGGAAGGATGGAAGTGATGAATGGTTTGAAAAACCGACAAGTTGAAGATTGAGACACTTATGCAGCATCTGGGAATCTTTATTCAGGAAACGTTTCGCCACACAGTGGCTTCATCAGTCCAATACAAAGAGGAAGGCGTAAGGAGAGGAGGAGTATGAGGTAATCAATCCCTCAGCCTGGAGTCGATGTGTTCAGTCCATCAATCTTGTAGAATGTACAGCATAGGGCCGTAGACGTGGCTTATATACTGTAGTGAGGTGAGGTGAAGCAGGCGGAGGCGGGGTCATAGTGGTACCATCCACTAGTCGAAGTAGGTCTTCGTCCAAAGGTTGAACAAGTGTTGAAGAATTCTTTGTAAAAAGATCCCATGATGCTGCAGTGTCTTGACAGTTGTGATGAATGGTTTGAAAAACCATGGAAGTGAGGGGGGAGGGGAAAATGCAAGTTATTATCGAGGTAGCCTTTTCTAATTGACTTTTTATTCTTCAGGCATCAAATGTTGTAACCAAATACTGATAGGCTTTGGTTCTGTATGTATCCAAATCACTGTACTCTTCAGATAATAATGTGTATTATTTCGTTTACAGACAGCAGCTAGAACTGGAGAGTTTGGAGGACAGCGTATTAGTCGGCGATGAGGACTGGCTCCAGGACAAGCATGGGTGCCCTGCCTATGTCGCACCAGAGATTCTTACCTCGTCATCCTATTCTGGCCGTGCAGCTGACATGTGGGGCTTGGGTGTAATGCTCTATACCATGCTGGTCGGCAGGTACGGTTCCTTCATTTGTCTTAGCTTTTTTTTCACTTTACTTATAGCATGTTATAATGCCAATAGAAATTATAATATAGTTTATTATTTATAACTATACTACACACAGGCAAACCTTACTGAATGTTCAGGATACGTTTAAAGATTTGAGAATGTTCAATGTATTATTGAACTCACTGGGAAATAAATAATTATGCAAGGAAAATATTCAGTGCTAAATATACTTACAAATACATTAATTGTACGTTATAATAATCATGGGGAGCGCTAAACCCGTAGGATTATACAGCGCATGTGGGGGGATGGAAGGTATTCAGGCTCAATTTAGGGAGCCGGAACACAGATCCAATTCCCTAGATCAAGAGCCCCTCACCAGCGTCAAGGAACCTCTGAGGGGACATAATTGTACATAAGTCATTTATTAACACCAGACTTCCTTGCACACAACACTTGCTATATATTATTGATCAGCATGCTACATGTCGATGCTTTATGGGGAAATTGGATGAAATTTTGGTTAGAGAGCTTTCGGGTGGGTCACGGCAGGTGATGAATTTCAACCTGTCAGATTCTTTAAAATAATAAAAAAAAATGTTTTATGTACATTGCGCAGTGTGTTCAAATAAATTGACTTAACGTGTTGTCAGGCAACAAAGATAGGTTTAGTATATTCAGCCATTTTTCGTAACTCGCATTTTGTAGCTCTTTTTTCAGTCTTCACATTTTAAGTGAACACTTAAGATAGCTGCTGTATATTTCAGTTTTGGCCTACGTTGTGAACAACCAATTTTAACTTTTTCTTATCTATATATCTGAAGGTTATTATTGTATAGGTTGCTAATGTAGCATAAAAGTCTCACGATTTCATTTTTGTTCTGGTGGCAGTCTTGAGTCAGTGAGGATATTTCAATATTTTATCATAATTTATATTCCTTGTGGCTTGTTATTGGTTCCTCCTATTCTCATTACAAACACAAGGTTTACATTTATGCGCACATAAGCAGACGAACATGTGTGTGTGTGGTTTAGTAAGATGCAGCATGAGTATGCATGGTGTGATATAGTGGTGAAGGTTTGATACTGTTTAGCCGTACAGGGGGCATGGTGACTGACATCTGTTGGACACACTGGAGCATGCACTTGAGGCGGGTCTGATGTTTGCCATTAACTATGTGATAGGGATGTCAACTAAGTCTTGACAGGCACTTCACGTGTTGGTAGTCAGATTAGATAGTAGCGCCCCTATTATGGTAGACCGAGTTGAAGTTACCAAAGGAGTTGTCAGTTGAGAGCAACATTGTAATGTGGATGAACATTGTAGCTGTGGAATCTTTTTGTACAAAATGGGTTCAGGTGGTACTCAGATCACATGTTCTTCCAATAAATTGCTTTGGATGTTGTGAGATTTCACAGACGATGCTAACGGGAACTGGATAATCTTGTAATGTTGAAATTCTTATTATACATATAGCGGCCTAAGTCTAAAATACTGGTACAACACGTTTCATTAAATTTTTAGTACAATTTCTCACTTCGTTGTAGTTTCCTTTATCATTGTAAGTTACATGGTAGAATTTTTCCAGATTGTTAGATTTTCAGTTTTGCTCTAACGATGTTGGGGTATCCTTCATGAGTGCAGTGTTTGTAATGGTTTTTATCAAGTAACCTCACTTGAATTTGTTCTTTACTCATCCTTGGGTAGTTGGTAATGTTTGAGTAAAAGGTAATACGATAATGGCCATCATCTCCCCAAGTGTGGAATGGTCTTCTGATGCTGATAATATCCTAGGTGGTTGTTGTTGGAGGTTGCAGGTGGAAGATGTGGTTGGTGGTGTTGAAAAAAGTTTGAGTTAATAGATTGGGCTATGAATTATGACTGGGCATTGACAGATAAAGCCTTTTACCGGCTCTTGTTTTCCTAACTACTGTTAATAATTGGGCAGAGGCGTTATTAGAGATAACTAAAGGCACTTCGTTGGTAATATCTTCCCAGGAAGAGGAACATGAATCAAATCAATGGGAAGTATGGCTTCAGTTTGTAGGTTTGTATATGGTTCTGGTTAATTTTTTAATTCCTCCAGTTAATTAGCAACATACTATGTCCATTAGAAATTGATCACATTTTCAAAATGGGTTTAGAAATAGATAGTTTAATGTTCATTTTTTTCTCTAGTACTGTATAAGTATGTACAGTATATTGACACTCGAACATCCTTAAATTCACAAATTTGACCGTTGAGTATTCTCTTAATCAGAGGAGTTTGAGCTTGGTCTTTTACATAATATTCGGTGAATATGTGCACCAGTCTGATTCTCTTGATCCAAGGAAATGAGATTCTGTTTGTGAGTTACTACTATATGACAATCTAACTTTCTGGCATAATCTATTCTGTTAAGAAACATTTTGCTAGGAATATAGCCTCCTATGATAATACATTTGGTGCATACTCCTATTCATTATGTCTGTATACGTAAAAATAATTGATACTCTGCCTCTATCAAAGTGAGGTACATTAAAACTTTAGACTTGCTAGAAGGTAGTGAAATACACCTAGGTGTAAAATAGAAATTACACCACAGAGACAGAGCATTAATTCATGGTATATTGTTGCTTCCTGCATATTCAGAAATTTGATTCAATATCAGATTCACAGGAGGACCTTGTATCTCAATTAGTTAAGATGTCCCTTATTAATGACTCTTAATGGATTAAAAAGCAAAGTTATTATGAAAATGAGTTGAATATTACAGTAACATTAGTACTGTACTTATAAAAGCCTTTAAAAATGTGAAAACATTGGAAAATGTCAAGTTTTTCATGGGTATGACTTATAATCATTTAATACAGTTGGTAAATTTGTGAACATTAGCCCAGAAACAAATTTTATGAGCCTTTAGTGTTTGATGTGAACTTGGGCTGTGACAATTAGCAGTAATCAATGGGAAAATGCATTACCTCTGGTTGAACATTACACACAGTAATGCTTATTTTATTCCTTTACAGGTACCCATTCCATGACTCTGATACCTCATCACTATTTGCAAAGATCAGATGTGGAGAATTCAAAGTGCCAGAGTGGGTGAGTTCCCGAGCCCGTCACTTAATCACAGCCCTTCTTCAACGTGATCCTGCCCGTCGCCTGGCTGTCCAGGATGTCCTCTCTCATCCATGGCTAACTCGTCCACCCCGTGACCACCCTCTGAGGGATCCCACTGACCACACCGTCCCCACTATGTTTGTGCAGCCATCAAGCCATCTCTCGCAGTCCCCGAAGACCACAGCCACAACCTCCACTCACTCGCCAAGTTTGTTTGGTCTGTAGAGTGCCACCAGCTTCAGTTGGTCACTGTTGTGGTTTCCCCATGTTGTCCATATGGGTTGCATTTCAGACTATCAGAGGGTGTTAGTGCAACCCAAAAGTTATGATAGTGTACCATTATCAGAGATCTTTCACATCTTCAGGGGTTCTAAGTGTACCAGTAAAGTGCAGTCTAATTCTGCACATTTTCAGGAAATAAACCTAGAATATGGCCTACCACGTAGACCTTTTAATGAAAGCCTCTGTATGGGTGTTGCTTTGTATCTTTAGAGTTGTGACAAACCCCAACAAAGTAAAATTGCAAGGGGATGTCATTTCTTAAAATTTTGATACCACATGGTGGTCAGCTAGATAGGGCCCTGTAACAGTGACCTGATCCATACACAACACAGGTGGTGGTGGTGGTGCTTTCAAAGCCTTTAATACATTAATAATAGATATACTGTAAGTAGTTAATATGTGGAAATCCAATCCAGTAAGGTTTCAGTGTATGTCCAGTGTAAATTTTGTAAATGCTTTCCATATCAAATCACTTCAGTATATAACTGATAGGGATGTGTGTAATATAGTAATTAAACAATTTCACAATCATTATTAAAAAATTTAGTAAATGCCCTTTGAGCCCAAATGTTTTTTTTTTTTTTTTTCTTTCATGTGGATTCCAACTAAGCAACAATGGCAGGGCAAAAAGTATCTTTGGGATGTGCTCTGTTATGGTCAGGAGCATGGTTGAAAATCTGTGATAATTTGCATCTTCTAGGTTTGTAAATGTTAGTAAATATGCGTTAGTTTCCAGTTTGTTTAAGTTCCATATCAAATGGTCTTCCTGGTGGTGTTGGTGAAAACTTGGATGCCAGGAAGACACACGACAGGGAGAAGCTTAGTAAATTTGCAGGCCTGAAGATGCGTACATCTTGTGAAGGATATTCGTTTTGGGATCCAATTAGCATTATGGTGTTATAGGATCAATGGCAAGACAAAAACGTTCTTTACCTCTTTCATGTATGTAATTTTTTTAAATATTGTCTGAGTGGTAAGTAAAGTACAAGATAAACAAATAGGGACTTTTTTTTTATTTCATGTGTGTGTGTGTGTGTGTGTGTGTGTGTGTGTGTGTGAAAAGTGTAAATGTAAGTGTAATTAGTATATGCTTTTATGTGAAGGTAGCTGCTAAATACTAAATTATATTTTTGGTATTTTTTCCCTCCCACAGCATGTGTGGTTAACATCATGGTTTTTTAATAATTGTTAGGACTGTTGACAGTCATTATTTTTCTTTTAAATGCATTCAGATTGTAACACAATTGCCACTGTGTCATCTACCAAAATTAGCCTGAAAATTTTTGTAATGTTTGAAGACAAACATGAACATTCACATATGTATTAGTCTTCTTATAGACAGTGATTTATTTTTATTTATTATATTTGAGGAAATTCCCCTCAAGGAGGTTTCTTGATGCTGATGAGGGGATTGTGATCCAAGGAATTGGGTGTCCTGGCCTTCCTTAATCAGACCAGATTGCTTCCCATTCCCTAGCCATTTATGATCCCCATGGGTTTAGCACTTCCTCCTAAATATGACATGGCAAAGCACTAAACCAATGGGTCATAGATATCTGGAGAATGAGAAATGGGAGATAATCAGGTTTGATCTAAGGGAGTGAAAGGCAGGTTCATTTACCTGGATAAAGAGGCCTTCACCAGCATCAAGTCACCTCCCTTGAAGGAAAATAGTGATAATCAGCTTTATTGAAGAAAAAAGTAACTCAAAATAGGTAAGTTTACTGCATGCAAGATGATTTCATACTTTATCATAGTATGAAAGAAATACTGTACTGTAAGAAAAAATCAAATAATTGATATCTTACAGCAACCTGCTAAAAATGCAATGGAGCTTTACACATTGTAAAATAAGTACTATAAAGAACTCTTAGACAGGTGACTTATTATAATCAAGTGCTAAACCAACAAGGGTCATACAGCACTGTTAGATAGGTGAAGCCTTAACATTATTATACAAGGCACATGTGCTCATATAGAATGTATTTTATGCTTTTATGTGACAAAAAGTATGCAGAGAACTTTAATGCTCATATACTGTTAAACTCTTTAATTCCAAGTACTTCATTAGAGCACTTGGGCTACAGTACTGCATGCAGAATGCAGGAGAGATCTCATTCTACAGATAAGAAATTCTGTGCCTAATTCAGGTCTCTTTAAATGCCAACATAAGCTTACTATGAAAGTGTGCAAGATATACAGTACATACAGCCAGACCTCTGTTCACTATTTCCGAATTATGACTCTTTTGGGCTTAGCTTAGTTTTGATGATATTTCCTTGGCTAAGTTTTCATTCATAGGAGGGGCCACCCATGAAATATTTAAATATTTGGTCATTCATGGGTTGGTGATTTTTTTTTTTTTTTTTTTTTTACACAGTCTTGTGTATTAAACCTTTAGGATTTAAGATAATTTGGATTTTTCTTTAAAATTAATGTACTGTAACGTATTAACATTTTGTGGATGTGTAGTGGGCTTATACCTATTTCATCATTATTGGTTAAGAAGTTACTTTACTACAGCATATGCCTTGAGAAGAATGTTTTTATATAGAAATATTTAGATGGAAATATAGTACTTGAAAATAAATAATATATGAAGAGTATGGAGGGATTAAGGAAGGAGGCCTAGGGTAGAGGGTGAAGGAGAAAGTGAGTTAAGATGAAAATTAAAGGATAAAAGGATGCACAGAGAATTTAATAATTGCTTTCAGTGGTATGGAGAGAGGTGGATGCAGTTGTGTCCATTATGTATAAAAAGCTGCTGCTGCTGGAAAATATACCAGTCACACCACACACACTAAGTCTTACCCTCTATCTGCCTGGCTGTATACTCAGACACCATGTGCATAGACACCTCAGCAAGACATCCAACCACAAGTGGATGCATCCACCACTTGGGTGGATGTCTAACCATGTGCACAGATGATACCCACCTACTCACCCTCCCATTCAGATGCCTATCATACAAATGACCACCCACCTGACCAGACAGGCATCCCACTCACCTGGATGCTCAGGCACCCACCTGCCAAGATGCTTAACACTTGCCCAGCTGTATAGTCCTTGTGGCTTAGCGCTTCTTTTTGATTATAATAATAATAATAATTAACACTTGCCCAGACACCTTCCCACCCACCTAGACCTGAACACATACCTTCCCACCCAGATCCTGACACCCATCTGCCTTGTCCAACTAGACACTTGTCTGCCAAGATGCCCACACCCAGACATTCACCTCCTTGCCTGCCTGTACAGATACTAATCCACCCTCCATAACCCACAGACACCTATCACCCATTGGACTGCCCATCTACAAAAATCAGAATCCAACTGACTGACTAGCTGCACAGACATCCACCTGCTCACCCACCAAATCAGACACATGTACACCCAGAAGCTTGCCCTTAAAAATCCACCCTGCTGAGCATTCTCCCACTCATTACACCACCTTACACACCCAGGCAGGCACCCTTTTTGTGTCCCCTTCCCCTCACTCTCTACACCTGGACAACTTTTCCTGCCTCCATTCTAGAATTTTTTAAACACCTAGGCACTGGTACCTTTCCTGATCCCCCACCCCCCTTCCTCACCATAAACCCAAGCATGGTGCCTGCTTTTCTTACAGCACTGTTTACTGTTGTTTATACAACCAAGGAGAAATTTAATCAATATTGTACTACTATTGGGATAGTTTACACATTTACTGCAGTGCATTCCATCACTTTTATACCCTGCTTTCACATCTAGCCCAGCAGTGCTGTATGACCCATGTGGGTTTAGTGCTTAGTTTTGATTGTAATATATTCCTGCTTTAGTGCTCGTGAGTATTTTCATGGATTCTTCTATACTCAGGGGTTCCTAAGAACATTATCTCTGTGAATGCTGCACATGTACTGTATTTACTCTTGTACAGGGTGTCCACAAAGTCCTCTTCCAATTTAAAACATTTACTCCATGATAAAAGATGTGGGAATGCAGCTTGTGTGTTTTTTTATATTATACACAGTGACTATAGCTGTTTATAGGATGCTTTTATTATTGTTACAATCAAAACTAAGCACTAAACCCACAAGGGTCATACAGTATGGGATGTTATAGATAAAGAACACATTTAAATTTCCTGCTGAAATCTCATATAAAGTATTGATAATGTATATTATAGAGAGAGAACTCAGTACTTGTCTGCAGGTAATGCTAGGTCTGTCAGGCTGTGATAACCTTGTTGATTCAAACAGTCATCAAGGAAGCCTAGACACAGGAATGGCTCAAGGAGTATAAAAATTGTCAGCCACATGTAATTTACTTTAAATCACTTCAGAATGCATTTTAAACTATAATATCATTGCTGATAATTTATGTATTATTAAATTGATTTTAAAGAATAGATCATAGTATAAACCAAAATGCATTAATTTCATCATTCACATGAAAGCAGCTATGACACAATACTAACTATCCATACCCACCTTCATTTTTAATGCGTGTAATTGCATGAATGTAAACCAGATGAGTATGGTATAAGTTGATGTGCATGATAATTTGCCATATGAAGTAATAAAATCAAATATTTCACATTACATAAAATATCAGCAAGATACTCTGAAACAGTTCTTGCCTGACTAAAATGTTTAATATACATATAAATTTTACCACATTGTGCAATTTAATTGTAACTGGCTAGGTTATGAATACCTGGGTAATTGGAGTCCTGCTTTAACCCTTTCACCGCATCATGGATCACTTTCTTGGTTCTCAACTAGTGCCATTTTTCCATGGACAAATTAAACTGCTCATTTGAGCTTTTGCAATACTTTTTTTTTTTTTTTTTTTTTTTTTTTTTTTTTTTTTTTTTTTTTTTTTTTTTTTTTTTTTTTTTTTTTTTAAGGTTTCTATATCTGGCTTACATTTTTCTGACAATTATTAGATATTTTTTTTTTTTTTTTTATTTTTTGTTACTCTTTATGCAAGTATTTTGACCTAGACATATTACATGGCCAAAAGCATTCCAGACACAGTTTTAGCATTTTAAAAATTACAGAATTACAAATCATTTCATTGATCCTAGTGCATTTTTTTTTATGAATGATAGTCTAATTTCTATAGTATAAAGAAACATTTTCAGTTCATTCTTTTCAAATACTGTACTGTATATGTATTTTGGAAAACACACAAGACAATTTACTCGTGAAACTTTTATCAAGCTTATCCTTGTCTGTATTAGTATATTAAAGTAAGCACATAAATAGAATGTCTGTTGGTGTCATTATTCTTCTAAGGTGAACCAATTAGCAGTATCTTCAATATTCTATATATAGGGTATTTTATATGAAATACATATCATTCTCTATATTTTATAGTACCCATATCTTGCATTATTTATCGTATAACAAATAGGACTTGGAAAGCCTTCACTAGATAACAAGTGACAGCACCTGTCAGACTGAAATTTCATCTGTTAGTCTTTTGAAATGTTGAAACACAACAGGGGATATTTGAAAAGTTGTTTGGCAGCCAGAGTAAAATTGTGACTTATGCAATAAGTACACCATCGTTTGGTTCGAAATTACAGTCTCAGCGGTGAAAGGGTTTCAAGGTCTTTTAATGCTGTGTCAAATCTTCCCCACCTCTTCTGTTCTTTGTATACAAGAGATGAAAGACTGATAAGCTGGAATGCTTATAATACAGAACTTGAAGTTTTAAGGAAGTATTGACATTGATGTTATCAGGGGATTGCACTTCACTTAGTGTTGGGAATTCTCTTCTTGGTATTTTATTTAGGATGTTTGTAAATATATATTGCTTGCTGTATAGTTGCATTGTTTGCTATTTGGTTGGCTTAATGAATTTCATTCCCAGTACTAGTCTTTAACACAGTATATTTCACAGTTGTTTTAGATTAGATTTGTTGAAAGATTTCAAAATGTTGCGCTCTCCTGACCCGTGTGTGTGTGTGTGTGTATATATAAGTTCGTTTTAGTTATTTATTTCTCTAGACCATGGAATGGAGTCTTGCATCCAGACCAAAGGGTATGGCACCTGTGGGCTGGTGTGATGTGCATACTTAATAGTTTGGAGGATGGGTATGTGAAACCAAGTTAAAAAAAAAAAACTGAGTTGGTATTTTTTCTTCATATGATGTATCTGGTAATAAGAAAAACCCCTGTTAATTTTTCTGTTAAAAGTGAGAGTAAATTGTGTTAAAGATCATTCACTTTAAGTTTCCAGTCGATATACAGGTTACCAATAGTCTCAGCAACAGAATAAATTGCTGACAAGCCTTACAATTGTCAGTTGTGTGATAAGGTTACTTGGAGGGCCATTTTTTTAAACATGCCAGCAACCCAAAAAAAAGAAACACTTCACCATCATTCAGCATATTCATATACGTACATAACATATTCATTCTAAATATTGTTCCCTTACCACTTTCAAATTTAAATACTGTATCAATAATTCAAAATGTTTTCATATCTTAAGCTGTTAATTACAATTATTACCATCAAAACTTAACACTGAACCCACAAGGGTCATATTGTGAAACAGGGTCGGATGTGCTAAAATGTTAATACCAGTCTTTAAAAAAAAACTGTATACATGGTACGACAAATGCTTCAAAATAACTTGCAAAACTATACAGTACTCATTGCTTAGGTAGCTGTTGACCATGTTAACCCTTTCAGGGTCCGTCCCGTAGATCTACGGCTTTACGGTGAGTGTCCAAACCGTAGATCTACGCCATGAGCTCAGCTCACTTTGATAAACTGTGAGTGGTACATTTGGGCCTAGATATGAGAGAATACATCTATGTGGTATGTGTGCACCACATAAAACAGATCCTGCAGCACACTTGTGTATAATGAGAGAAAAAAAATGAAATTATGATTTTTCGATTAAAACAGCAACTTTGCAGTGTTTTTTCGTATGTTTTTTATAGTTGTATTTGCGATTTCTTGGTCTCATTTGATAGAATGGAAGACATATTACAGAAATAGAGATGATTTTGATTGGTTTTAGCACTGGAAATGGCTTGAAACTGAGCTCAAAGTAGCGGAAATGTTAAATTTTTGCCGATATTCAAGAGTAAACAAACGACCTCACACATCTAATACACGTCAGCTGGTGGGTCTAATATACATTCACAAATATGGTGATGATATTTATACAATTATTACAGTATTGCATAACAGTAAATCTTCTATTTTTTGGTGTGAATAAAAATTCATTGTGAATAAAAAATCAAAATGGAATTTATTTGTAAAGCCTCAAAACATAACTAATGAACAGAGGAAATGTTAGTTTAGTGCCAGGAATGCCTACATTGTTTATTCTGGACCCTATTTTGAAATTGGAATATTTTGAACTTTGTCAAATTAACAATTTCCGATCACTTTATTTTGTAGTTGAAACAGTTGACTTGGCGATTTCTTGTGCTCAATCGATAGAATAGAAGTAATACTAGTGAAATAGCTAAGAATTTGGTTGATTGGAATAATGTAATTGGCCTAAAATGGGAGTCAAAGTCGGCAAAATCGCAGATTCGTAAATATCGCTGATACATCAAAATTCGCGAGAGCATAATTTCGTCAATTTTCCACCAAATTTCGTACTTTTTGTTTTATTACCTTCACAAAAAGATTCTCTACGATTTCATAAGAAAAAATAACAAATTTTTTTTTTTGAAAATTCTTGGACACTGGTGCGTGACTCCAGATTTGGGCCTTGGGCCCTGAAAGGGTTAACCTTGCACCACTAAGTGTTCCAAAGAAATTGAACTCGTACTAGACCTAAGATTATGATTGCCCCCAAAATGGTGCCCTGAATCACTTTTTAACATCCTTAAGCAACAAAGGGTGTTAATATTATCTGATGGATAAATATTAACTAAACTGTTTTTTTTAATTCAACATGTACTGTGATTAATTGGATGCCATATAGCTAATAGTGAGCCATTGGATGCCAAACAACTAATCGAATTACATGTATCAGTTGAAATGAACCAGTGACTAAATTTTGGCATTTAGTTAAAAAAATATTCAGGTTCTGTAAAAAATATTCAACATTTATCTAGTACAGTACTGTGGTACAAAGATGCAAATGCAACAATTAGAATGTTTAATTAGACATTTCACCCTGTATAGAAAAAAAAAAAAGTCCCCGGTGGGCAAAATTTCTAAATGTTGGATGTGTGTCTTTATACCACAGTTTGTCAGTACTGCCATGCCTTTACTTGTAGTACTGTATAATACTCAAAACCCAATATTCTATAAGATCGGACAGAAATTAGCCTAATAAAAGTGAGCAACACAATATACATCTTACTTCAAATGTTGATGGGGTTATCTGTTTTGTCACTGTGGTTGAAGTCAGAGGAAGAGAGTTGGATTCAAATATCCATTATACTTGTAACAAGTATAATGTGCTAATGTAGTTTTGCCAATAATACTTGCTGTTTAGTTCACAGATACTTCTCAGTGTAAGTGACTTTCAAAGATACTATAAGTAGTTCTAATGATTTTTCCACTATCAAACCGATATCTTATCTTCTGCCTGTTAGTAAATCCTGTGACTTAACCATACTATGATGCTCATGTACATATGTTTTGTATATAATGTAATGTGAATATTCAGTGTTATAATAAAAGAACTTGTGAAGTTTTGTTTGATAAACCTTATTCTTTAATTAATGTGTACTGTAATGTACAGTACGTATTTCATCACACTATATTACTCGGTCTTTTTCTTCATTAGTCTTTTACCCATCCTTCGCCATTTATATCTTACAAAAACTTCAACTCTATACACTGATTAAGAGTGCAAAAGTCATTTATACTCCATAAATATATATATATATATTCTTTTTTCAACACATCGGCTGTCTCCCACCGAGGCAGGATGACCCAAAAAAGAAGCTCTTTCACTATCATTCACACACAATCATTGTCTTTGCAGAGGTGCCCCTTAAGGAAAGTTCCTTGTTGTTGGTGAGGGGCTCTTGATCTAGGGGATTGGATCTGTGGTCCGGTTCCCTGAATTAAGCCTGAATACCTTCCACATTCCCCCCCACAGGTGCTGCATAATCCTACGGGTTTAGCGCTCCATGATTATAATTTTCAGGGGTGCCCAGATATGACAGTGTAGATGTTACCCCAAACAGCCAATATCCTAAACCCCTCCTTTAAAGTGTAGGCATTGTACTTCTCACCTCCAGGACTCAAGTTCTGGCTAACCAGTTTCCCTAAATCCCTTCACAAAATATTACCCTGCTCACACTCCAACAGCTTCTCAGGTCCCAAAAACCATTCATCCCCATTCACTCTTATCTAACATGCTCACACATGCCTGCTGCATGTCCAGGCCCCTTGTACACAAAACCTCTTTTTATACCCTCTCTCCTTCCTTTCCTAGGACAACAACTACCTCTCCTCCACCCCATTACAGACTTGTACACCCTCCAAGTCATTCTATTTTGCTCCATCCTCTGTAAATGACTAAACCACCTCAATAACCCCTCTTCAGCTCTTAATACTTTTTGTAACTCCACACCTCCTAATTTCCACTCCACGAATTCTCGGCATAATATTTACACCACACATTACTCTTAGACACGACATCTCCACTGCCTCCAGTCTCCTCCTCGCTGCAGCATTTACAACCTATGCTTAACACCCATATAAAAGTGTTGGTACCACTATACTCTCATATATTCTCTTCTTTGCCTCCATAAATGTTTTTTTGTCTAAATACACACCTCAATGCATCACTCGTCTTTTTTCCTTCAATTCTATGGTTAACCTCATCCTTCATAAGCCCATCTGCTGACAAATCTACTCCCAAATATCTGAACACATTCACTTCTTCCATACTCCCTCCCTCCAACGTGATATCCAATTTTTCTTTACCTAACTCGTTTTTTACCCTCATCACTTTACTCTTATCTATGTTCACTTTCAACTTTCTTTACACACCCTCCCAAACTCATCCACTAACCTTTGCAACTTATCTTTTAGAATCTTCCAAAAGTGCAGTATCATCAACAAAAAGTAACTGACAACTCCCATTTTGTATTTCATTCCCCACAATTTAATCCCACCCATCCCCCAACAACTCCATCTATAAATACATATATGTTAAACAACCATGGTGACATTAGTCACCCCTGTCTAAGGCCTACTTTTACTGGAAAGTAATCTTCCTCTCTCCTACACACCCTAACCTGAGCCTCACTATCCTCAAAAACTCTTTACAGCATTTAGCAACGTACTGTCTATTCCATACACTTGCAACATCTACCACATTGCTCCCATATCCACCCTATCATATGCATTTTCTAAATCTATAAATGCAGTGAAAACATCCCTACCTTTATCCAAATATTGTTCATATTATTTACATTGAAGCATATATGCTTCAATGTAAACACTTGATCTACACATCCTCTACCCATTCTAAAGCAAGGTGACAGGTCCTTGGCTTTGAACTATAGACCAATAAGCCTTACCTCCATAGTGGGAAAATTTACGGAATCAATAATTGCCGAAGCAATTCGTAGCCATCTTGACAGGCACAGATCGATTAATGAATCTCAACACGGTTTTACAAAGGGGTGTTCCTGTCTTACGAATTTACTAACTTTTTTCACCAAGGTGTTTGAGGAGGTAGATCATGGTAATGAATATGATATTGTGTATATGGACTCAGTAAGGCTTTCGATAGAGTTCCACACCAGAGGCTATTGAAGAAACTTAAGGCACATGGAATAGGAGAGAATTTTTTCCTGGGTAGAGGCATGGCTGACAAATAGCAGAGAGTGCATAAATGGGAAGAAATCAGAATGGGGGCACGTCACAAGCGGTGTTAGTGTTGGGGCCGTTGTTCACAATTTACATAAACGACATAGATGAGCGAATAAATAACGACATAAGCAAATTTGCTGATGACACCAAAATAGGCTGTCCAATTCATTCTAATGAGGACACTAGAGCACTCCAGGATGATTTGAATAGACTGATGCAATGGCCAGAGAAGTGGCAGATGCAGTTTAATATTGACAAATGCAAAGTTCTAAATGTTGGACAGTTAAATAACCATGCCACATATAAACTAAATAATGTAGATCTTAGTACTACTGATTGTGAAAAGGATTTAGGAGTTCTGGTTAGCAGTAATCTAAAACCAAGACAACAGTGCATTAGTGTTCGCAATGAAGCCAACAGAATTCTTGGCTTCATATTTAGAAGTATAAATAATAGAAGTTGGGTTGTTCTTCAGCTCTATATATCCTTGGTTAGGCCTTATTTAGACTATGCTCCTCAGTTCTGGTCACTGTATTACAGAATGGACATAAATGCTCTGGAAAACGTACAGAGAAGGATGACAAAGATGATCCCATGTATCAGAAATCTTCCCTATGAGGATAGACTGAGGGCCCTGAATCTGCACTCTCTCGAAAGGCGTAGAATTAGGGGGGATATGATTGAGGTGTATAAATGGAAAACGGGAATAAATAAAGGGGATGTAAATAGCGTGCTGAAAATTTCCAGCCAAGACAGGACTCGCAGCAATGGTTTCAAGTTGGAAAAATTCAGATTTAGGAAGGATATAGGAAAGCACTGGTTTGGTAATAGAGTTGTGGATGAGTGGAACAAACTCCCAAGTACAGTTATTCAGGCTAAAACGTTGTGTAGTTTTAAAAATAGGTTAGATAAATACATGAGTGGGTGTGGGTGGGTGTGAGTTGGACCTGACTAGCTTGTGCTACTGGGTCTGATGCAGTGCTCCATCCTTGAGTGGAGATGACCAGACTGGGTGGGTCATTGGTCTAATCCGGGGGCGGCGGGACATGGACCTGCTCAGCATGAGTCAGTAGGCCTGTTGCAGTGTTCCTTCTGTCTTACGTTCTGTTCTTAAAGCCTCCTTGTTCATCTGTAATCCTGCTCTGTCTTGCTTCTTAATTCTTTCAATAATAAACCTACCATACAATTTACCTGGTACATATACATATGTACATACATACATATATATGTATACAGCCTCTCCTCACTGAGGAGCATACTATAATGGTAGTGGGTTTGTGTCAACCATCTTTGATACTGTTTTACTGTCACCTTTGCACCATTTATAACATTACTGGTATATTTTTAAATGTTTATACAGTAGTATACTGTAATAAACAAAATCAGCTCTAATATACAAATTATTTAGGTAGGCATACTGGTCAGAGCGCCTGTCATAAATCTGAGTCATTGGTAAACGAGTACGTTGCTGAGGAGAGGCTGTATTTATTTATTTATTTTCTGTTACAAAGCTTGGCAATACATGAATGACCCTTAGAAGTTTAGCCTTACCACTTGCAAGCATTTATATAAAAGAAATGTGACATTAAATTTATTCAAGCACTGATTTCTTTAATAATTTACATATACAGTGGACCCCCGGATTACGTAATTACTCCATTCCAGAGAGAGTGACTTATCCCGAATGTGACTTATTCCGAATTAATTTTCCCCATAAGAAATAATGGAAATCCAATTAATCCATTTCAGACACCCAAAATTATTAAAAAAAATGTTTTCTACATGAAATAATACATTTACCTACACAGAAAACAATGATACATGAAGAATAAAACAAAAATAACACCACACTTACCTTTATTGAAGACAGTGATGTATGGAAGAAGGGAGGAGGGGAGAGGATGGAGGAGTTTACAATTGTTTGGAAGGGAAATCCCACTCCATAAAGACTTCAGGTACCAAGTCTTTATCCTGGGTTACTACCCTCCTTTGTTTTTTAATGCCACTGGGACCAACTTGAGAATCACTGGACCCCTGTCTCTCAAAAAAGTGTTCCAGAGAGGTCTGTTTCTGGCGTATGTTAGGAACTGTGTAGGGAGACAGGGCAAGATAGTCCTTCAATATGACACTAATATCAGCTCTATGGCTTATTTATCTAGCATAATTCATCTAATATGAGATAAACAATATTAATAACATAGAAACATGATATATACTCTAGAATGAATAAAATATGGAATTAAGAATGTCAAGAGTGGTGGTGTATTGTTTGTTGTTGGGTGTATAAGGGCTGCTGAAAGATAAGCATTACATAGTGGTGGTGAAGGCGGCAGCAGAGGTGGTGGTGTTAGTCAGTAGCCCGATATACCTCAAACAACAATGGAAGGGTCAATTTCATGCTGTCCTATTTCCATCAATTAACCCTTTGACTGTCGCGGCCGTATATACAGTGGACCCCCGCATAGCGAACGCCTTGCATAGCGAACATTCCGCATAGCGAACGCTTTGATCGCTAAAATTTTGCCCCGCATAGTAGACAAAAACCCGCTCAGCGAACTTCGTCCGAGACGCGTCCAATGTGCGGCCTCGGCCAGCCTCACATGTGCCGCCTGTCCCATTGTTTACCAGCTAGCCTCCGCGGTAACATTCAAGCATACACTCGGAATATTTCGTATTATTACAGTGTTTTCGGTTCTGTTTGTTGAAAATAAGTGACCATGGGCCCCAAGAAAGCTTCTAGTGCCAACCCTGTGGTAAAAAGGGTGAGAATTAGTATGGAAATTAAGAAAGATTTTGAAGGGTTTGGGGCTAACCCTGAGAAGCCTATGCCAGTTGTGGAATCCATTGTGCCTACTTCAA